TTCTTCATCGTTGAGAACTCGTGCTTCAACTACAGTATCCTCGAGACGCGTTCATTCCAGCCTTGACGCATTCGCCTTGTGCGCTGCGCCAATTGGGTTTAGGGTCTGCAGCACACATGACGAACACCGCATTGACTCCAAGTATCTACCTCACTTCATGTTCACGTATGATATTGGTAGCATCTTTATGACTTGGGTTCAGGCTTGAAAAAGGACGTGATGGGGCCGGACTCGACTTTGCACTTGACCTTGCGCGACGTTGGTTGGCGCGGCGCCTTGGTTTTCTTGGCCGCCTTGGTCGGATTGAGAAGCTGCATGACCTTTTTCATACCCGTCGTCACGCCGGCCTCGGCCAACTTGGCTGGCGTCATCCACGCATACGCCGGCGGAAACAACGTCGCAAGCGCCTCATTGGGCGTCAACTGAACGTGCTCGACGCCCATGTGATGCTTGACGTGCGAGAAGATATGCACGAGATCGCCCTTGTCGGCGCGCGACTCCAAGTACGGTACGATCGCCTTCATGGTCGTAAGCCCAAAGAGCTCACAGAGCTGGTCGTTGGACACGTTTTGCCGAGCCTTGTACGCGGGGATGACGTCGTCGTCGGCCATCTACCGCCGCATTGAGCTATCGCATATAACACTGTGGTTGTCTTACTTTGACAGCGGGAAACTCCCACTGCCCCGCCAAAAGACCGCCCTCGGGTCGTTTGGTCATGAGGTACGCGATCTCGCCTGCGTGCGTCAGCTATTCGCAGCGTCCTTGGGATACATGGCGCGTACCGTCGGCAAACTCGGTCGTGAGCACGAGAATGTTGAGTGCTTCGTTGCGAGGCGCCTTCTTGCGCGTCTTGAGGGGGTACTGCGTGACCTAGAAAGCGATACATAAACATTTGTTGTCTACTGAGAGATACGTCGACCTCGCCGCCTGGGAGCCCCCACTCGTCGAGGCGGGTCATGTCACACATACTGCACTCGATATCCGTGGCTTTGGCCGTCTTCTTGGGTACCTTCATATGAGGGATCGACGGTCCATTATGGTTCCGTGCGCGATAATATCATCATACTTGAGACTCGGCGTAGGCGTGACATTGGGCTTGCACGGGGCAGCTCTCGCACGACGGGTTCTATCGAGTGTAACCAAAAAAGAAAGCAGAGATCTCTAGCCGACCTGGATCGAGCAGAGCCGCGCGCCGAGCTCCATGAGCGCTTGGTTAAAGTCGCCTGGGCGGTCGGCGTCCAGTAGCGTTTGCCCCGACTCCCTACATGCACGCATCATCTCCTCTCTTGTTGAATTGGAAGATGTACCAGCAATGGTCGAGGAGCGGCTTGTGCTTGGGGTCTGCGCCAATCGCACGCAGTCGCGCGACGACGCGGATGACGTTGCCGTCGACGAGCGGCGCGGGCACGTTGAACGCCACCGACGCAATCGCGCCGGCCGTGTACGGGCCGATGCCCGGAATCGCTTTGAGGCGCTCAATGTCGTTGGGCATCTCGCCGTTGTACGTCTCGACGACAAACTTGGCGCCGTCGTGGAGCATGCGCGCGCGGCGGTAGTAGCTACGCGTAGCATCGTGAGCGCCGCGCGAAGAACGTCCTTTACCCGAGGCCGGCCCACGCCGCGTTGACTTGGTCGGGCTCGGCGGCGGCGAGCGCATGCACCGTCGGGAACTTGTCCATCCAGCGCACATAGTAGTCGACGACCGTCTCAACGCGCGTCTGCTGGCACATGATCTCCGAGACCCACGTGCCATACGGCGACACTGGCACCGACGCCACGTAGCCCGGCGCCCGGTCCTCGAGGACGCTCAGGAACGGCGGACTGTCGCCACGCCATGGCAGGCACCGGCGACGCTTGTCGTACCACGCGAGGAGGGCGGCGCGGATGGCCTTGACCTCGGTCGACTTCCACCCATGGTCGTGGCGCATGATGCTGGTGTTTCACGCGGATTGCACGGAAATGGTGTTATAACACTACATTAGAATTCGGAAATCGTGTGTCCCGCCAGAATGCGCATGAAGCCGCTCGTTCAACGAGTACATTGCACAGCGTGCAGAAAATCGCCGGCAGTGACGCAAGGTATCAATGTTTCAATGTGTTTATGCGGGTATTTGACGACATGGCAAAAAGGGACTCGACGAACAGTAGTGTCCTTGATTTGCATGGCGACCCATATATGATGGCGACCGCTGTTTTTGGCGGGAAAAGTGGCCGACGAGGTGCTGCATTGTTTTGAGGGAGTTGCACTTTCAAGATGGACACTTGATGTCTCCGTCAAGGTCGGGCCGCAAGAACCCGAGATCGACGCGTATACGCACGGACTCGTTTTGGACGACGCGTCACACGTCAAGACGTCGACGCAGTCTCCAGGATCAAGCCGTTAGCAAGCTTGATCCAGCGCCATGTCCGTACCACTCAAATGTATGCTGACACCGGATATATCGATTCTCAGAGGTCCCATCATCGCTCCCCGTATCGGGACGTGCATGTCAGCAGTGTGTTCGATAGACGATGCAGATAGCGAGGGCTTTCTGTGCCTCTAGGAAACACCGTGTTACGCAGTTGACGAGGTAAAAGCGTCGTGCAAAGGGCGTTCGTTGCCTGGTAGCCACCACCCAATAGCCGAAAGCATATCTCTATACCGTCTCAATCAACCCCTTTGTATGAGGCTTTGGTAGGCAAAAAGATACGAAAATGAGAAAAACACGAGCCTTTGAGAGAGCCAGATTGCAAACCTCTGGCAATGCATACTCTGCGGCCGATCGACGCAGATATCTTTGACCGGCTTGCCCACTTCTTTGCCCGTTGCCAACATGGCCAAGGTCAGGACCAAGTGGCTGCGTGCGCTCTCCGAGATGATGGCGTCGTACGGCTTTAAGCTCAAGCGCAACGAGAACCACCTCGTGTGGCGCAACGACGAGATGGGCATCCAGATCGCGACGTCGAGCAGCCCCAGCGACCTCAACGCGATCCGCCAGATCGAGCGAGACATCCGCCGCAAGCTCGCGCTCGACCACCCGTGGTGCACCAAGCCGTGCATGGCGCTGGCGGCGTAGGCGACGGCCTTGTGTCTTATGTGTGCGTGTTGTGTGGGATTGATGACTGGCGTCAACATGGCTGTGTTCTTCATCCCGTCTTGCCTTGCTGCACCGACGCCGACGACCTTGCTGCTTGTCGCGACGTGCGCCGCGACACGCCCGCGGCTGGCGGCCGTTGCGCCGAAAGACCCGGTTCCGTGCGCCTTGAAGTCGGACGCGCCTGGACGTTTGCATGGACGTTTTGGCCCGTCGTTGCCACCGGACGCATGCGCGACACGACCGCAGTGGGCTTGGCCACGTTGTCTGGCGTGTCCTGTGGTGGCGCGATCGATATCGACGTCGATATGCAAGGTGGCACGTGAGTGCAGTCTACAGGACGTTTGTGGTGCAAGGCAGCCGTGCACGACACAGTTGTAGCTGGACGCCTAGCATACGAGTAGAGACCGCCCTGGCCCTTCGATGCCCTTACGTGCAGCCACGCTACAGCTGGGTGCCGTCGTGGGAGCGAACCCGGAGACGACCCTAATCGCGGGTTGCTCGCGACAGTCTTAAGTCGAAAGAGGCGGACCCGATGCGTTGACGGACGCTGCGTCGCGCACTGGCACTGCATGCAGCGCGTCGGCGTCATGGCCAGCGTCCAGCGCATCGAATGCTAACTTCCTTCCGTCGACTTGGTTCGACGAGCAGACGCGCGTTAAAAAAATGTGGCCAAAGGCGCGACCGCAACCGATCGCGTGCGCGCCGTCTTGGTTGAAGGCTCCGGCGCTCGCTTGCCCCAATGGCGCGTAACTTCTGCGTGGAGTCATGTCCCTGCGTCGGCATCTCCGGTTCGGATCGGACGCCACGTTGCATACAAGGCTTCAACGCCGAGACAACCCCTTTGGCTGTGATGTGCTGCAAGGTCCGTCAAGGCGTCGCATAGTGCGCGGCTGGATGCTTCTGGCACACACGCTGACCATATATTTCTCGCTGCCCTGGACACGGAGGACGCGTGTCTATGACAGGCTCGTCGTCGTCGTCCAACTACTTCTAGTACTCTAAATGGCTCTTCGTGTACGAGCTCGCCCCTGAACGGCGTCGTCCCGCCGTCGCGAGCGCGGTTGCTGGATATACAGGCAACATCCAACGCTATTGACCGTTTGTGTAGGCTTGGTGTTTGGACCCGACAGTGATTGGGTATGGCAACGCCACGTGGATGATATGATTGGCCGACAAAAAAAGAACGCACCAATCAAAACGCCTCTTTCGTCGAAGCCGGACGTTACAGCGGTTTATGCGTTCAAAGGGCCAGTCCTGTCTGGCTCGACGACGCCACGTCGGCTTTATACGAGCCCCTCGGCCGCACCATGGTATGCTCGACCATTACTGTGCGCCAGTGGTTACGATTAGCTAATCCACTAAGAGCGTCGCGGGTGTATAAACTCGCAAGAATGTACGGTCTCGAACGTCGCGCGGGACGCCAGGGATCCAGACCATCTTGAGGTGCCTTGTGCCGAAGGGGCTTCTCCGTACGTTGGCTTTGCTGCGGTTGGTTTGGCCACGTGGAACCCGCGGGAAGATCGTGTTACAAAAGTATCTGCGATGCTCGGCGTCCAGCATCAGAAGCAGGTCTGGCCCGAATGCAATCGCGAGGATGGGCCTCCATTTGTTACCGCTCCGATAGACACACGTCGTGGTCCTTGTTGTGGGGTTGAATTTCAACTTGGAACTGCCCACTTTACCTTTTGCCAAATTGCACCCAGTACAGTACACTATGATGCCCTCGTCGCCCAACTCGCGCTGCAAGTACCCGTACAAAATGTGCCCCAACACACGCACGTTCAAGAAGGACGGCGAGCCACACACGCTTTGCGAGTACCACCGCAACAAGGCCAACTCGATTCAAAAGATTTACGCCACCAAGCGCCGCCAGGAGCTCCGATTGCAGCGCAAGTCGCCGCCACGGAGCCGGTCGCCGACGCTTGTGCTGCCCGACCCGGCCCCGTTCTTGCCAAATGCGGCGCTCACAATCGAGCCCAATGATTTGGTTGACCTCTCGCTCTTGTTTGAAGACGACTTTCCGTCCGAGACGCATTCCTGTGGCCTCGAAGTCCCGGACGCTGCGCTCTTTATGACCAGCCGCCTTTTTACGGACCGCCTCAAGTTGTCGGCCGATGACTACGACATTCTGTGCACGCTCGTCGACTGATTAGCGTCTCATCGAAATCATAATATCAATCCTTATTTATCCCAAACGACCAGTTCTTATAGATCCACGGAGCAGCGTTCAAAATGTCAAACACGGGTCTACCATACCGGTACATGTACATGGCCGCGCGCCAAAGCCCCCGACTCTACTAGAGACCATTGCGCACCGGGGTTGTAGCATACTATGCTAGGTCTAGGGTATCACGGTTTGAATGACAGGCGCCATCGTGTGTCTCCTGGTCTTGTCGAAGCGCTGAGCCGCGACGCAAGGCGTGTGCACTGGGCTTGGAAGGGTACGAGAAGGGCGGGTAGAAGGACACTGCGCTTGCAACGGATACCGCCGCGTGAGCCACAAAGTTGCGCCAACGGCTTGCGGCTGGCGGCGCAATCGATGGCCATGGCAAGAGTTGGAAGGGCTACAGACGTCCCACTGCTGATGCCTTTTGGCACGGAGGCGCGGTCTGCGAGTGCTGCTAGCTCACGCGTAACGAGCTGTAAGACACGTTCACATTGCATTTCGGATTGCTACGTTTGTACGTGTATCAGTATCTTTTTCCCACATGAGGTCCAAGTTCGTGCACCGTGTATCTCTCTGGGTGGAACGTCCAAAGCGAAGGTCGCCACGTGCCCAGGCTTGTCACTCGCCTTGGTGATGGACTTGTGGACGTCATATATGGACTTATGGACAGCTGCAGTGCGTTTGACTGTGATCACAGCGCAGAGATCGCACCTCCACGAGGCAATGTTATTGGCGCCATCACGGGCCTGCACCAACCGTTGACGTGAGCAGGCGCGATCCGTGAACCGTATTCAGTCGAGTACATAGTCGCGGCCGCAAGCCACTGCAGCGCTTTGTATCGACGGGTGTAGCTGCCATAGCATAGTCCTCGTACATGCAGCCAGACAAGCTTTCTATTTCGCTGACACCCGCGACGCTCAACGAAAGAACTAGCTGTGCATTGACATGGTGCGCTTTTGCATCAACGCATCTGGAAGGAATGCTAAACGAAAGTCTGTTGGTGTGGACTGATCAATAGACCTGGTTCGCCATCGAGGCGCAATGTCGCGTGCGAGGAGGTTACCAAAGTGATCACGCCTGGCATAGCGATACGAATCACAACGGTCTCCTCGAAGCACACCGACCTTCTCGAACCGTCGACTACTAACCACAGAGTCGTAACCTTGTTTCTACCCCGTTTGCGTGTCCCGTCCAAGCCTATCCTCCTTGAATCGCGGTCGTACTATCGATCGATGTGGTAAACACTTGCAGCTGGACATCCTTGCAGGACGAGCGCGAAAATTGCACCGATTCCGTAGCGCGCGGCTACGATGACGCACAAGTGTCAATGACGCAGATCTTATATATTGGCGGCGCGTCATGCTTGCATCGTGGCATTGCTGAATGCCGCGCGCTATGGTCTCGTCTTGGAATTCATGCTTCGTGCCGCCGTATGTACGAGACGGCGTACGGGCGTACATTGAGAAAAACGACGTCTCATATTCGGCATAAAATGCCGAAAATAAAATTGGCCGCACATTGACAAACCGCGAGACGACGATACTTGTCTGCGTCTGTGCGAGCGCTGGCTGCACGAGAGTAACCCACGCTGCGTACGAGTGTGCCGCAGTCGGATAGGACCGAGCAATTGAGGGGCTGTAAATGACATTACGGCTCAACTTACACGTACCACCACGCATACTCGGTACAAGTCTGCAAGGGCTGCTCGTGGTCGCACGGGGTACATGAGCAAACTGAGATCAGTATCACCATACATTCGTGTTCTCTTTTGATGACTTGGGACTGGACCTGTCACGCGCGGTGTTGCCTTGTTGTACTAGTACAGCAAAGTTCGTTGTGGGGCCGTCGACAATCGTAAGGTGGCATGTGCCGAAAATAGGGCCGACCGGCCGTACATTATGTCGTGTACGGTGTGCCACTCTGCTGAATTCGCGCCCGTAAAATTTCAAGTCGCTCGGTGGCACTCATTTCGCATGCAGTCTGACGTTCCGGTCTTGAAGTCTCGCTAAGATCTCACTTTGCAATTGACCAGCAAGAACAACAACAACGATCATGCTCGCCAACATGAACGTGCCCACCGAGCTCAAGTGCAAGTACGCCTACAAGGCGTGCAACAACGTCCGGTCGCTCAAGAAGGACGGCGACCACCACACGCTCTGCGACTACCACCGCAACAAGGCCAACTCGATCCAGCGCACGTATGCGACCAAGCGCCGCCAGGAAAAGCGCGAGCAGCGCAAGCAAGCTGCGCTCCGCAAGCTCCAAACGACGACGAATTCGACGACGCCCGCGTTGCCGATGACGACGTCGCTCCTCAACTTGCTCGACACCGCGGCCTTTGACGCGTACCTGGTTGAGGACGACGACCTCCTCTTCATGGAGCCGGTCGACGACGCGTCTTCGGTGCTCTCGCAAGAAGAGTACGAGTTCCTCGCCGATATCTTTTGAACGACGAGTCCTCGTCCAGCTTGAGCTGCTGCGGTCACTTGGACGTCTCTATCTCCTGGACACCGCCACACACAATGTGCTCATAGCCGTTGTATTCAGTGTCTGTACACCTTATTTAGTTGCCAATAATAATCATAGTCGTTTGTAGTCCTCTCACTCGGCGCATCAAGGTCGGGGACCACCATGGCTCAAAGGTCGACAACTTGGGGTGTCTACTTGGCTGTAGATAGGGTAGACCCGCCGAAGCGCACTAGTACTGTCACCGCTAGTTGTCATTTTGCGGGAGTGGGGTAGTTTGTGCATTACCGCTTGCTTGGGCGACTGCTTGACACGCCTTCCTGCAGGATTGTGCTGTCCTAAGGGATGCGCACGTGGTCGCCAGCGCAAAGGCAGCTCGACGCCATTGTGCATAGAGGCCATGGACGATTACCTTCAAGGTGGCGCGAGTCGCTCATCTGCACCCGCACCACAAGCACCACAGCTCCGTTCCAGAGCCCTATCAGCCCGATCTTCGCTGGCGTCTCACACAACACCAGTGGCCGCGCCGGCACCTATTCCTGCAGATCGCGCTCCGGCTTCATTCGTTAGACTCGAATAAGAGCATCTTCACCCGACGTCCAATTCCCTATTTCGAGGTGCTGGCGAAATGGCATCCGGATAAAATAGGAAAAACAACTCCACCCGACCTCCTATTCCCTAAAAAATAGGAATTCGGCCGTTTTTTCGTCCTAAGCGGTACCGAATAGGTCAAAATCGTCGCGAAATAGAAGCCAAATCCTATTTCTAGGCGATTTGATTGGCTTAGCCTAAAAAATATTGCCGTACCATTGGCTGTCCTATTTATCCCGTGGATCTGATTGGAGCATCGAATGGGGTCCATCCATGAGCGCGGAAGGCGTCGTCTATAAAAAGGAACTGGGCGTTCCTTGGCTTGTGCTCCCTGGACCCACTATAGCCATGGGTCGCCAAAAGATCTGGACACCAGAGGAGGTCGCCACGCTCGCGCGAGCTTGGATGTCGGTGAGCACCAGCTCGACTGAAGGCGCCGACAAGAAGGCGGCACAGTTTTGGAACGAGGTCATTGCTCGCTTTCACGCGCAGGGTGGTTCCGATTCGCGAAGCGCAAGCGCCGCGAGCTAACAATGGTCGGGGAAAATTCAACCGGCCATCTATGTGTGGTGTGGACTGTACGCCCGCGCCAATCGCGCGGCTGAGGTAGTCGCGCATGATGTTGCTGTGGCCGGACGCGATGTCGCGCTTTACCATCTTGCGACCAACAACACCGCCGCCGTGGCGTCGCTTGTTCGGTCGGTGAAATACCTCGTGCACGAGTTCGTCATCGTCGTCGTCATCGAGCAAGAACTCGCGCCAGTTACGGTGCATTGGCGCTAATACCGAAGTGAGTGCGCGCGCAAGAGAGCTTACAAAAAGGCGCGAAGCCGGTTAATTCGAATTTATCCGGTATATGCCGCTTGGATAGGATGGACGGGTGAAGATGGCAAACCTATTCCTATTTCACGATAGGATCCACCAATCACAGCCCTCCGAGAAAATAGGAAATAGGACGTCGGATGGAGATGCTCTAATCTAATTGAACACACGACCCACTTCACCAACAACGATGC